TTTTTAAATTGAAAAGAATATTGTTTTTGTTGCTCCCTCTGTATCGTGCAATCTCGAATTTTCTGAAAAATTGTATTGTTTCTCTTGTATCGACAGTGCTTTGGCATTTGTGCATGTGAACTAAGGTTGCTTTCCTTTTAGGAAACAGAATTAATATATTTGAATATGTTCTACCATTTACTGTTAGTATTGAAAATTAATAGTTCACACAACGTATATTATCACTTATATCATCACTAGTAAGAAATTTTGGGACACATCTTTTTTTACAAATAGATGCTCTCAAGAAGAGTGTCGATTGAGTTTGAACAAAATTATAAATGTAAAAGTCGTTTGCGTCAAAAGATGTGTTTCAAAATTTATCGCTAGCGCTGATAATACATTACGCGAATAGACTTAATATTAGCTGTAAAGCTTTTAAAACACATCCAAATATGTCAATTGTGTGTTTTTTAAAAGGAAAGCAGCTTGAGGCCCTGCGTACAATGGAAGAAATATTAGAAACAGGAATGAATATTAAATGTTAAGATCTAGGCACAGTAAGCAACAGGAATGACACAGGAAGAATAACACAAGCAATAGATTAATAAATTGATGTATCAATTGATACATTATTTCCTATAGATTGAAATCTATTGCCTGCGTTATTTTCCGTTCCTACTGCCTATTATACAAAGATCTTAACATTTAATATTTATTTCTGTCCTAATGTTTTCTTCATTATGCACAGGACCTTAAGCTAGTATCAGACTAGACATTGAGATTGAAATTCGATTGAAATTCCCTCTTTTTGATTTTTTATTGTGTCTTTTTAGTATATTGACTATGTAGCTTTAATTTCTATCTCCTTCCATATTTTGTTCCAAAAATTATTTAAATTTTTCTCTTTATATAAGGATAAAAATATAATTTGTGAAGTGCATGTTTTTGGGAATAAACATGTTGCACGTATTGTATTATATTTGACAAGATATTTATATACACATAATTCTTGAAAATGATAAGTAATGATAAAAAGTAATGATAAAAATAATTTATCGATATACATATAATGATTCTTAGCATCATTTATTTAAATGTTTTATGTCATTTCTCTGAAGTTTTACGGACAGGTAACAATTTGACTGGCGAATAATAACGATATTACAGAGATAACAGTAAGTGATAAACATATAAAATATTACAAAATATAATTGTTGAAATTGACAATAATAAAGATTAAAAACGTAAAAAATTCCAATATGAAATAATTAGACGCATGAAATCTTGTTATTAATATATTAATAATAATGTATTAATAGGAATGTGCATGATTTGTACCAATGTTTGCAACATTATGCATTTATTTGCATTTATTCAACATTTATTATTTTAAAAATTACATCTTGTACATAATATTCTTTAAAGGCTGTCCGTGATTAGTTCTTTGCACGAAATTTATTAAATTTAAAATTTTTTTACCTGTTTTCACACACAACATCCTTTTTATACTTTCTTTTAAATCATTACAATTCATATATTAATGTAAGTTACTTGACATTATTAATTAATAATTTTATTTTCCATAAAATATACTAAATATTTATTTCATATATTTTAATAATTTTTTATTAATATAAATCAATAATTCTTACATAAAAAAATATTTAATAATTATATGAATTCTTATTGTAATTTCTTTTCTTTAGTAAGAAAATTGAATTTATATAATTTAAATTAAAATATATTAAAATTAAAATTAAAATATATAAATTATATCCCAAATATAAGTTAAGTAATAAAAAATAATGAAAACATAATTATGGCCTTTACTGAATTAAATAAAAATCTATGTGCATGTAATACGTGTAGCAAGATTGTAAGTCTATATGTGATATATATTTTCACTTTAATTAATTTATTGTAGTTATTATAGTTATGATTACAATTAATACTCAACTATATTTTGTTAAATGTAAAACTAAAAAAAATTAGAGTTGCATGAATTTTATGCAATTTGTGATGCTCTCTACTTATCAAAATAAATTTTTGATTTTGTAGATTTTGTAGATTTTTAAATTAGACTTCAATGTCTTAGATTTCAATGTCTGACATTAGGATTTTTAAATTTGAACTTTAAATTCTAATAAATTTGGATGTGCAGGAATTAAATTTTTATTTGTAATTCTGAAAATATTTTACATATTTATCAACTCACTTAGAAGATTGCTTCTATGAAAGTATTCGTTAAATTTTATAAGATTTTTATTTAAATTCTCTGATTTTTAATTTTTCTCCTATTAAAATTGTTGGGACTTTTACTTTTCTTTACTTCCTTCGACAATTTAAGTATTATCGACATAACGAATTTATTATCACGTTGTTAGACCTAGCATTAGAACGATGCAACTTCATGAAGAGATCTCTCCTTCTTCTTTTTCCTCTTTTTTTCTTTCTTCTTTGACATCGGTGAGTTGAAGAAAATTTTGAAACAGAGAGAAGGAAAGGTGGTCTGATATGAGTGAGTGGAACGGGAGATAGGGCGAAAGAGGGGTGACCTGTGTCTGTTGCCAGGCTGAGCATGGAGGTGTCGTGTCGCAGATGGCAGACCCCAGCCGTGAAGAAGAGCAAGTCACTCTGTTGGGTGAGGAGGGCCTCCGCGCCGGCGGCCAGGCTCTCAAGCTCGGGTAATTAATGTGTGGCGTACGTTCATTCGAAGCAGAGCGTGGCGACTTCCCAAGATCTCTCCGAAAAGCAAACGGATCCAATTAAGCTGCTCGAAGTTTTAATCTCTAAAAATTAAAACTGTGCGGATCCTTTTAAAGTTCGTTTGAATTGAAAGCCGATAAACGTCGATAATCTTCTGTCCTGTTTGTTTTCTTTGAAGTTACTTTGTGAAAATTCTTTCACTTTTAACTAATTAACACTCCAAAACTTTATGTAATTGAATTGAAATGTTAATATTAGTATTCGTAACTGATGCCCATGCAAAGTTCTTAAAATTAATTTGTTCAATTTAATTTTTTTTCCTTCTACTTTTAGCTGTTTTTTTTTATCTCTCTTGTTTCTTTAAAGCCTTTAAATCTTTAGATTTCTTGTTTAAATATTTGATTCCCAAAGTTTTTCGTTTATATCTTTTCAAAGTTTCCCGATATTTACCATAAGCTTATATATTGCTAATACTTGAAAATTATCATCAATTATATATCAATTTTACAACAAACTTATTTCATTTATTATATTTTTCTTATATCTTAGTTCAAACTTCAGAATTATGTACTGAAAATTTATTAAAACAAATTTAGACTGTGCAATTCCGAATCACCACGCTCTGCATTTTAGTCTCCACATGACTGAGAATCATCATCAGTACAACATCGCATGCCTATAGTTTATGTTTATGCAGAACATGAATCTGATGCACTGCTGCACTTTGTAATAATATTCGGTCACTAATTGCTAATCTTCGAATTATGACGTGCAACTGTATATTTCGAATTTTTGTTTTGAACAATTCTCTTTTATAATATATAAATATACTTTTATATATTATTACCATTTTGACGCATATAATCTTTATTTTTTATATAATCTATCATGTAACTTATTTAACATTTTAATAGTTTATAGAATTTTATTGACTTTATCAAAGTGGGTAAATAACGCGCTGAGGTTCGAATGGACCGTTTCATTAATTAGTAATTCGAGGATTAAAATTATGTCAGGAAATGTGCAGCCAAATAAACAAAATGATTCGATAAATATTCTTATATGTACTCTCGAATGCGATTTTGTATTAGGACCGAGATATATATCGTAAAAATAAGAACCGAACCTTTAATACAGTTTTCAATTAAATTTATAATTCAATACTACATATGTAGTAAATTCTTTTTATATGTGTAAGTTTTCATTTTATTACATATATAACATAATGTAATTCTATATAACGTAACATGATATAACGTAATTATCATTACAACATTATTCAGAAATTATTAAGAATATATTTGGAAAATTAAGTCTTTGGAAAATCGGATCATTGCGTTTTAACATTTAACATCATAAATTTTCAAATTTATTAAAATACTAAATTTGGAGCTGGATTTTAAAGATTTTGATTGTTGGAAAACTCAAGTATTTTTTAAATATTATTTAGGATTTTTAGTAAATCTTAACATTCTGAAGATTTTTTTACATAACAATATTTTATATATATATATTTATATAAATAATTGAAAGAATTCTCTTATTGCGAAACTAATTATTATTATCTAATGTAAAAAAAGATGTTGCAAGAAAAGAGAGACGCCATGATTATCCTAATCTACAATAAATACCGTATCACAGGTTCGGTTTTCGTTCCATCGTGCAGAAATTGCGTAGTGTTCGAAAAAGAGAGAGTTTAAAGGGGATCGATCTCGAAGAAATACGCCACTGACTTTCCAAATATTTTTCCCCCTCCCCTTTTTTTTTCTTTTTCCTGCACCTCCTCTCCCTGTTCGCGTAATTATAATCGTTACGTTGAAGATCCGTCCGATACTCATCTTAGATCCTAAATAGTAGTAGACTCGTCCTACGTTAGCGTGTTCTGTGATTACAGCACCTGTACACCGCGGCAGACATCGTAGGAGCACATTATAGGAATCCGCTCAGGCAAGCTGTTATCAACCGTTATTTATATAAAATCTGTTTGCGAAATTGTTTTTGCCTCATTGTTTTGCCTATGTCTATATTCAAGACTCTCTGTCTTGCTCGAACGAACCATACATGTTGTTGGAGCACCTCTTCGCGAAGACTCCTCTCTCTCTCGTTTGGAAAGAAACGGTTTTTCTGAAACTAAAAATTTGAGATTAACCACGGATCTGAAGAAATAATTTTATCTTGGATCATCGAAATAAATTATACAGGACACTTAGGGTATGATAATAACACTAAGATTTTTATCAACTCCGATAATTATTTTGATGCTCCAAACAAAAAATTATTTTCAAATCTATGTTCAAATTTTTATATGTTTCTAATAAAACAATTTTTTTTCATGTCATCCCTCATTTCGACGTGTAAAAATTTCTTCTCTCGCTGAATATTCATTTCTCATGTCTATTTCTACCAGTGTAGATTAACTGTAATTTCAGATTACCTTTACTCTTTTTGTAATTTTATGAATTAGAAAGAATAAATAAAATTGAGATTAAAGTTAATCTAGTATTAGTAGAAGTGAACACGAAAGGAATTTTTATATCTTGATTGTGCTTCCTCATTTTAAAATTCTTTTCACAATTTGAGTCAGAGAACTTAGAATCTTAAATATTTAGATTGTTATCCTATTATATTATCTCTCTAAATCGTTGGAATTCCTGATCCGCAAATATTCTAGTTTCTTCTTAAAATTTGAAACGTTTTTTCTCAATAAGTGTATAGGATTGTCGGAAATAAATATCTTTGATTATCTAACTTATCATATCCCCGTCCCAAAACATTTCCATTGTTCGTGCCTCTTGAGATTGATCAAATTGCCACAGTTAATTCTCACGTTAACAGATAAAATCCCGTTTTTTTTTTTCCTCTTTTTTTCCTTTGTCTTCGGGGATGCTTCAGCAATCAGAATCGCATTTGAAAGACAAACGCGATTTTTCGCTTTCATGAATAACAGATTGTGCAAAACAGGGCTCTCACTCATTTTATGTCGCAGTTGTACGCGTGTTTTTTACGATATGAAAGAGGAACACCGGCATATCGTCGCGCCGATTGATAACAGTTGATACAGTTTGATGCAATCACTTGTTTTTTAACACCCGCTCCAATACCCTAAGCAGAGAAATTCAAACTGTATCGAGTACTTTCGATCTATGACGAAAATGAGATCGAGATCCGAGCTCGCTTTCCAATCCAACTCTCGCGCGCAGCCAAATTGTTGTAATAATTCTCACTGTAATGATACAATTGTTGTAAATAACAGTAAATGATGATGGTGTGGCCATGGGTATGTATAACAAGGTCTCCCTTTTTAACAAAGGACTGTCTGTTTATATATGTTTCTTTTTTTTTTTTATATGTGCCGCTTACTCGCATGCTCTCGCATCACATTTTTATCAGTGGATTATTAAAGGATCGTTAAAGATGCTTCGTTGAATTTTATTTTAAAATTTATTGATTGTTAACAAGACTTCAAAATTTCATGAAATCAAATAGAAGAAAGGGGAATAAGATGACGAAATGTACAAGATGACGATTTGTTAATTTTAAGCTAATAGATAAAGAGCCGGTGCAAAACTTATTAAAGATTTGTAATGATAATAGAAAATATTATAATTTAACTTTAATCTATCAACGATAAACTTATATAATTTACATAAAAAGTATAAGTAAATTAGGTAAAGTAGGTAAATTGTATTCGAAGAATTAATTATTTTATATAATAATTATATATTATAATTAATTATAAAAAATAATTATTAATTTTCTTAATATAATTTAAATCTATTTATGTAAATTATATAAAATTTAAAATTATATATATAAGGTTATAATATAACATTATAATTGTTATAAAATAATATGAATTATTAATATTAATTTTTCAAATCAACAATCATGACAATCGATTATTTAGAAAGAAAACATGCGTTGCAAATGTATTCCAATATGTATGCAAAATCTAATGTTTAGATTATTTCTATCTGTATGTGTCAAAACATTTAACATAACATTCTAATCGAAATTATCGTTTCATATTATGTCTTCATATTTTATATCTCGGAGATTTATTGTTAACTATCTTGTACGATAAGGAAACTCCGTAAAATTCTAGTACAATTTTGTAGATTTCAATTAATCCATAAATTTCTAAAACATTCAACGAAACTCCTTTAATGATTTAACAGCTTGGCTTGTACCGTGCTTTACTTAAAGATAAAAGTTATTACTTTATATTTTACATTGGACAATACGAATAATGCAAATGAAATACATTAACTTAGTCATTTTTTGATCGATTAGAAAAAACTGAAAATCGAATAAATCTGTTAGCAGCAATTTCGATTTTAACATGATTTGATTGATTGTCTTTTTCGAGGGAATCTCTTTATAGCAGTATGAAGGATCACTAAACGAAATAATCATGGCTTATAAATTTTTTCCAGATTGTTCAATAAATAGGAATTGCCATATATCCTTTCTAATGTTTATTTAATAATTTCGACATTATTTAAAACCCTCAATAAACAAAAATGGATTAGATAAAATTGAGGAAATTTAAAACATTTTTTATGATATAATATTTTGTTTTTCTATTTGAATAAAAAAATTATTATTAATAATTAATAATTATAAATATTTTATTTAATTTTTCTTTGTTATATTATATATAAATTTTTTTTAAAATTAAATTATCTTGGACACATCATTATCAAATTTGTTTGTGTGCGTGCATGCGTGTGTGCGTGTGCATGCGTACGCGTGTGTGTATATGTTACATCGTAAATACATCAAATTGATTTCAATAATTTTAATAATTATACATATAATTATCTAGAACTGTATGAAATTTATATATTTTGCCTTTCTTACGAATGTTAATATAAATTTAATTTATATGTGAGCATTTTCACGTGAATAGTTTTTTTGGTCACAGTTTGACTTTATAACCATTATTATTCAATGATTGTTTAATTTGGTATAATTAATTTTATTATTGTTATGTTACATATTGGCAATTCCTATTTAGCTGAAGAACTTGACGAACCTGAGGTACCTCCAGCGCAATAAACTATTTTTTAATGATTTTTGCGCTGCTCCTAAAATTGCATTTTACAATCTCATTTTTAAATACAATTTCCAGATATGAAAATTAAATTTTCAACATTAAAATGAATACTGTATTTAAAAATATTGTATTAAAAAAAAAAATGAAAAATATAACAAAAAGAAATTAATAAAATTTATGAAATTTAAAATTAAAATTCTCGTAACTTTTTTATATATTTTATCACTACAATCTTTTTCATCTTAATTATGTAAATCATTTTAAAGTTTTCGTGAAATTGTAAAGCGATTATCCAATTAATTGCGAAGAAAAAACTATGTTGTTCAAAATAATTTGAATACAATAATAGTCGAGTCTGTCATATTCTCATTTAATTTACCTCAACATTATACCATTGTACCATCATACATGCGAAAGACATGTTGTAACATTACCATCATTTCTAATTGGCGTGATCCTCGCTTCTGTAAACGTTGCATCGTTATGAGATACCTCAAGTTCGTCTAAGATTCAAAAGTAACAAAAAAAAAAAAAAACTACGGATGCAAAACAAGAGACAGAGTTTGGAGCATTGTGGTCGTGTCTAGTGTGGCTAATGTGGTTGTGTCTTGTCTGTTGTGTCGTCAGCAAGAGCACGCGGGCTTGAACCCCACCGAGTCCATGACACGCGCGTTGATTAGCGATGATAATATCGCCCGCCAGTCCGCCCTTGGCCCTGTCCAGTTGGGGTACGTACTCCCATTACTAGTTACTCCTTCCACTCTCATTGTGCTAGATCCCAGGAATCCGAAGAGTCGAATAAGTCCAGGAATCGCGAGACCGACATTAATTCGTAATTCTCCGTATGAAGTATTATTTGTACGGTGATGATGCGAGAGAAATTTGAATATCTTTGAATTGTGCATTTAAGCAGGACACGATTAAGCACAGATTATTATTGTCAAATTGAATTGAATAGAATTGTTTATCTTTATCTTTGCTCTTCTTTTCTTATCATTGATTAATATATCCGAATAATTTTTGTTTCACTCGGCTTTTTTCTTCCTTCTTCCTTTGTTTACATTTTAATCGATGTTTTTTTCTTTCTAAACAACCTTTTCTCGAATTTTACAATTTAGGAATTTTGGCCTTTTTGCAACTTTGCGATACAATTATATAATTTTTGATACAATTATAATTCTGGTAAATGTTTAAAGAAATTTACACCTCGCGAATTAGGAATATCTGAACATTCGATAACTATCCGATATTTGATCAGTCCGGCTACTTTTTGACAATCCGATGAATAGTCAGATAATAAATTGCTAACTAGCGATGCGATCACGGTTTGGCCATCTTTGCACTTGTATGCATTCTTGGAATTTTTGACACTTTGGATACTTGGTATCTTATTACCCCGATATATTAGATCCTTAGAACCCTAGATCTTTGGAATGTTTTTTAGTATTATAGTTTTACTATTACAGATCTTTAGAGGTTTAAAACTTATGAAAATTTGGAATTTTATTATATCTGTCAAACTTCAAAATTTGCATTTATGCTAAAAGATTGCATACTTTGAACTATTGAAGTATGCAATCTTTTCTTTTTATTTTTTATTATACGAATATTGTAAGCAATATTATATAATAATTAAATAATTATAATGAAAATATAAGAAATTTTTATAAAAATATAAGAACCCCCATCTGAACCTTTAAGAATATGGAGATCCCAAGATTTAAAAAATTCAAACTATATCTAGAACTATATCTAGAAGAATATAAGGGTCTAACGCAAATTTCTCCCGTACATCTAGTAAGAGATTTATTAGATCATTGTATATATTGTAATAAGTAATAAATCTCTTACTCTTTTATCGATTTGAGGTAACTGACAAGAAATTTATATAATAATAATAATTTTAATCGGCCTCTTTATTATAAAAATAAAAGAGAAATTGAAATGCTCAAGAAATTCTCTCCTTCTTCGTATGCAATAATCTGATAAAAATGTATTTGACAAGCAAGTTTTATGGCATAATTATAACCGGTGTACGAGGCTATATCCGATTTGTTCCTGTGACACACGTATGCTATTTGTTGAAGTTAGTCGTTCAAAGAATATCTCAAGAAGGATCCCTAAACTCGTTGACAGAAGTGCTCCGAGGTACGTAGAAAGAAAAAAAGAGAGAAAGAGAAGGACCATGGCTACAGAAATCATCATTTCTCAAATTGGTTACTAATATCACGGAAAACCCGCACCAAGTGACCGATACAGATTGAAGGCTTCGCTATAACACCTTCGTAACGATCATCATTACGACGCTTTGTTTTCAATTACCATAAGAACAATGATCCCTCGTGAATCATGATCGTAACGAATCTCACACAGTTTTCTTGCGTTTAGTACACATATATATCTATCGACATAGACATCCTAAGTATCTGATTTTCTGTTCTATCACTGCTGCTTATTAACATGATGTTTTCTGTCTCGCCGTGCGAGCAGCTTCGTCGCGGGAGTCATCTTGAGAGAACGGATTCCCGCGTTCGAGCGTATGCTGTGGCGTGCGTGCCGTGGAAATGTCTTCCTGCGCCAGGCAGAAATTGAGACTCCTCTGGAGGATCCCTCGACGGTGAGTAATCGCATCAGTCTAAACAGTGTAAAACGAAAAGTTTAAGGATTGCGAGATTGCGAGTTATGAATTATGGATTAGTAGAGTATAATCGAGAGATTATAGAGATTAATCTAGTTATTAGATTAATCATTAATAAGTCATTAAATAAGAAATTAAATCGTTTATCTATTTAATCGGTAAACTCAGCACTAATTCGGCAATGATGGATTCAGGGGGACCAAGTGTATAAATCGGTCTTCATCATCTTCTTCCAAGGCGATCAGCTGAAGACTCGTGTGAAAAAGATCTGCGAGGGATTTAGGGCAACCTTGTATCCCTGTCCAGAAGCGCCAGCTGATCGCAGAGAAATGGCTATGGGCGTTATGACCCGTATCGAAGATCTAAACACTGTAAGAACATTATATTTTTTTATTTTTATATTAATTTGATTATAAAACAATATTCTTACTTATTATTACTGCATTGAAGAAATTTGTTTTAAGTTTGATTAAAAATGTGTATTAAACAAGCATTATGATGCGATCTTGGTTTTCCAGGTTTTGGGACAGACGCAAGATCATCGTCATCGTGTTCTTGTAGCTGCAGCGAAGAACATCAAGAATTGGTTTATTAAGGTCCGCAAAATTAAGGCAATTTATCATACTTTGAATCTTTTCAATTTGGATGTCACTCAAAAATGCTTGATCGCTGAATGCTGGGTGCCTGTTCTGGACATTGAAACTATCCAATTGGCACTGAGACGAGGAACGGTAATCAAACATTATTTCAATGATTTTTCTATCACGATATGAAAGTCTAATGTTTTTTGTATTATTGTCTTTAGGAGCGTAGCGGGAGCTCCGTTCCTCCCATTCTAAATCGTATGGAGACTTTTGAGGACCCGCCGACGTATAATCGTACAAACAAATTCACGAAAGGCTTTCAAATATTGATTGATGCTTATGGAGTCGCATCTTATCGCGAGATGAATCCCGCGCCTTACACTATCATTACATTCCCGTTTCTATTTGCAATAATGTTTGGTGACACTGGCCACGGCCTCATTATGTTCCTGTTTGGTGCATGGATGGTGCTGAAGGAGAAGCCATTAGCGGCTAAGAAGAGCGACAACGAAATCTGGAATATTTTCTTCGGTGGTCGTTATATCATTTTTCTCATGGGCTTATTCTCTATGTATACTGGTCTAATTTATAATGATATATTTTCAAAGTCACTCAATATTTTCGGATCTAACTGGATGGTAAACTACAATCGTAGCACCGTTCGACACAATAAAGCTCTACAATTGAATCCCAATTCTACGGATTATGTTGATTATCCATATCCGTTCGGCATGGATCCAGTGTGGCAACTGGCAGAGAATAAGATTATTTTTCAAAACTCCTTCAAGATGAAGATCTCCATCATCTTTGGCGTGCTACACATGTTATTTGGTGTCGTGGTGGGATTATGGAATCACATGTACTTTAAGAAGCGCGTCAATATCACGTGCGAGTTTGTGCCGCAAGTGATCTTTCTCATGGCACTGTTCTTCTATATGGTGATCCTCATGTTCGTCAAATGGATTAAATACGGCCCAAAGAATGATGTGGTCGATGGTCCCGGCTGTGCGCCTTCGGTCCTCATCACTTTTATTAACATGGTACTTTTTAAGCCTGCCGCCAAGCTCGGTGATTGCGACCCTTATATGTATGGAGGTCAGAGCGGTTTGCAAAAGTTCCTAGTGATCGTGGCAGTGCTCTGCGTACCATGGATGCTGCTGGGAAAGCCAATCTTGATGATGCGCAACCGCAAGAAGCAGCATTATCAACTCAACAATCACGGCGCCGAGAATGGTGATGTAGAGGCGAGCATGGGAGCCCTTCAACAGAGCGGAGGTGTCACGCAGGGCGGCGGCGGCCACAAAGAAGAAGAGGAAGACATGATGGAGGTGTTCATCCACCAGGGTATTCACACAATCGAGTATGTTCTTGGTAGCGTGTCGCATACTGCGTCCTACTTGCGTCTTTGGGCTTTATCTCTGGCACATGCTCAATTATCTGAGGTATTGTGGACTATGGTAATGAGGAATGGTCTAGCAAGGGAAGGATGGGACGGTGGCATCGTTCTCTATGTCATTTTCGCCTTTTGGGCGGTTCTCACTGTAGGGATTCTTGTACTCATGGAAGGTCTTTCGGCATTTTTGCATACGCTTCGTTTGCATTGGTAAGATTCCAAATTTTTTTATATTTTTTTCTTTTTATAAGCTTAACTTATAATGCTTGAGCTTAAGTTTAACTCTATATATATATATACTGTTATATGAATAAATTGAATAATTTATTTTATATGGTAATTTTATTAATTGTATTTTATATTATCGCAAATTTAGATCGATAATACTCATCGATGAAAATGTATATTAAATTATTTTTGATTGTCATTTTATATATTCCAGGGTGGAGTTTCAGAGCAAATTCTATGCTGGTTTGGGCTACAGCTTTCAGCCATTTTCCTTCGAAATTATTCTCGACGCTGCGCAGGCCACGACCGAAGATTAAAATAATTAATCGTTAATTAATAACAGACTCTGACTATAATTAATATAAGGGCATCGTGAATTCGAGCTGCTTGATTGAACAAGTCAGTTATGAATAATAAATGAGCGAGCTGTCTTTCTCGAATCAGAATATGTATGTATGTAGAGTATTGATTATAATAATTGATCAAAGTATGAAAATTATTTTCCTCTTTATCGCGTGTAGTCTTTTAATTATACGAACGGAACTTTGATTAAAATCATAAAACATAAAAATTATGGTATATACACAAGGTCATGACAAACAAATATTTTCGTGATATTATTAAAGTTCTTCTTTAATCGAATTGAATTATGATCGAAAAGATCTAAAAAAACTCTTCCTCTTTAAATGAATAATCCTTTAAATGAAAAATCCTCTCTAATGGAATGTATTTGTCTCATCCGTCGTTGTTCGATGTTAGAAATATCTCGCAATTTTAGAAATTTTGATGCGAGTAGTGTGGAATTCTCCATGCACATTGTAGAACTTGTAGATCTGAAAACAAATGTATGTCGCTCGTGCGATTGATGTTGTTTCATATATCTGTACGTAATAAAAATGTGGCATATTGAAGAATATTTGATGAAAATTTGCTGATTTCACTGTGTTTTCATATAATATATTCGATAAGATGGCTTGTATGCAATTCATCGAGATCAATTTCGTCTTAAGATTCATCTTAAGAAATATTTCTCCCATTCTTTGCTTTCATGTCCCTTTTACGTGAAAAGCGTTAATCCAATAATGTATCAATTATATTAAATTAAAATTTAAACGAAATTTACATTAAAATTAAATTATAATTAATTAAATGGGATAATTGAATTTTCTGGGGACGTTTATAGAACAGGCTCTGACTATAATTAATGACTATAATTAATTATAATAAATATCGAAATTCGAGAATCTACAAGAGAATTAT